GCCATGGAGAGGGTGGCGGAGCCTGCTCCGGCTTTAGCCTTGACCACCTCCGTGCCGGCCTCCTGGATCCGCCCAACGAGCGTCGTCAGCTGGTCCTGGGGAAAGTCCACCTTGGGAGTGCACTGAGAGATCAGGGGGATGATGGTCTTCCCGGCATGGCCACCGATGACAGGGACGTTGACTCGAGCTGGATCCAAACCCTTCAGCTCTGCGACGAAGGTGTTGGCTCTGACAATATCCAGGGTCGTCACGCCGAAGATCTTGTTGGGGTTGTATGCTCCGTGCTTCTTGAAAACTTCTGCTGTGATGGGGATGGTGGAGTTGACCGGATTGGCAATGACGCAGATCATGGCTTCAGGGCAGTGCTGGGCACAGGCAGCAGCCAGGGTGGCCACAATCGTGGCATTGGTGTTAAACAGGTCATCCCGGCTCATGCCTGGTTTTCTGGGGACTCCCGCCGGAATAACTGCCACATCGCAACTTTTCAGGCAGTCGGGCAGCTGTTCAGGTCCGAGGTAGCCTTTCACAGTTGCTTTGGTTTCGATGTGGCTCAGATCTGCTGCTACTCCGGGTGTATGCGCGATATCATACAGGGTCAGGCGGCTCACCAACGGGCTATTCTTCAGGAGTAGCGAAAGGGGCTGCCCAATGCCTCCAGAGGCCCTTAGCACGGCTACTTTAGCATTGTTCTGGGTCGAGGTGCTGAAGCTGTGGCGGAGAGCTGCGCTGGCAAGCCGGGTGAGGGAGGACAGCATGGCTGGAGCGGGCGGGGCGCGGACCGGCAGGCACAGGAGCTGGCCACCGGCAGGGGACTCCAACCTCCTTATTTTTTTATATTAACCCCTTATCTGACACATGATTCCCTAATATTTTCTCCCAATCTATAAGCTGTTCTTTCATTTTGTTGATTAGCTCCTTTGCTATGCAGAGGCTTTTTAGTTTACTGTCATTTCACTTGTTTATTTTTGCTTTTGTTCTCCGTGCTTTTGGTGAGATATCAAAAAAATCCTTGCCAAGGCCAAATCAATAAACCTTTCCCCTATGTTTTCTTCTAGGAGTTTTACAGTTTTAGGTCTTATGTTTCAGTCTTTAATCTGAGTTATTTTTCTGTATGATATGAGTTTAGTTGCATTCTTTTGCCTGGATACCAAGTTTTCCCAACATCATTTATTGAGGGGACTAGCCTTTCCCCCATGGTATCTTCTTGGTGGCCTTGTCAAACATTAGTTGACTATCTATGCATGGGTTTATTTCTGGGCTCTCTGTTCCATTGGTGTAGATGTCTATTTTTATGTCAGTATCATATCGTTTTGATTACTATTTCTTTGTATCGTAGTTTGAAATCAGAAAGTATGGTGCCACCAACGTTGTTTTTCTTTCTCAAAATTATTTTGGCTATTTGACATCTTTGTGGTTTCATACAAATTTTTAAATATTTTATATTTCTGTGAAAATGTACTGGAATTTTGATGGGAATTACATTGAATCCATATATTGCTTCAAATAATATAGACATTTTAACAATATTAAGTCTTCCAATTCACAAATATCTTTCCAGTTATCTGTGTGTTCTTTAATTTCTTTCATCAATGTTTTATAGTTTTCAGTGTGAAGATCTTTCATGTCCTTGGTTAAATTTATTACTATTTTATTCTTTTGGATGCTATTGTAAATGGGATTATGTTCTTGATTCTGTTTTCAGAGAGACCATTATTTGTCTAAAGAAATGCGACTGATTTTTGTACATTTATTTTGTACCCTGCAACTTTATTGAATTCTTTTATTAATCAGTTCTAAAGACTTTATTGATTAGTTTTAATAGTTCTAATATAAAGTAGGAAAGGTGAGATAGTAAGGTGTTGGTCAATAAGTGAAACAGTGTCATATAGCAATGGTAAGGTAACGGATGGAGACTGTGACAACCAAAGTCAAGCAGCAGCATCCTGCTAGGAGTTTGATTCGAGAGGATGAGATTGTAAGATTGGAGACTCCTAGTTTTGTGGAACTGCTTGAAATCAAGAGAGAATAAGGAAATACTGTGACCGTTTTCTCAGTCTAGGATGCAGCACAAAAGGCCACAGGGTAGGAGATAAAAAATCAGGATTCTAAGAAATCTAGATAGAGATATGTTAATTATCTATTGATAGCTAATAAAAAAAACTCTCAAGTTAAGTTACTGAAAACAACACTTAATTATAATCTCACAGTTCTGCAGGTCAGAAATCTAAATGGGCTTCACCAAGTTCTGTGTTGAGGACCTCACGAGACTAAAATCAAAGTGTTGGTTAGGCTGGGATATTATCTAGAGATTCTAGAGAAGCATCCACTTTCAAACTCATTCTGGCTGTTGGCTGAGTTCATTTCCTTGTACTTGGCGGACTGAGGTTCCTGGTTCCTTGCTGGCTGTTAGCTGAGACCTGCTCTCAGATCATAAATGTCACCCATATCCCTTCTATCTTCGAAGTCAACAGTGGGTGTCAAATGACCCTCTTGCTTCAAATCTCTACAACTACCATTATTCTTGCTTCAGCCCCACTTGCCACTAACCAAAGAAAGCTCTCTGCTTTTAAGGGATCATGTGATTGTAATGAACCCACTGAATAACTCAGAATAATCTCCTTATTTCATGGTCAGCTATGTCATACAACATAATCAGACATATTTCATTACATTCACAGGTTCTGGGGGATTAGGCAGAGCATCACTGAGGGTCCCATTTAGAAATTCTACCTTTGGAAATTTTATTATAGGATTCTAGGCAAATTCATTCTTGAATTATATAAATTTTTATATATTGTCTACTTAGTATAAAGTTTTCTACATTGGGGACTTGCTTTTTCTCAGGTATTGATATGATTTATCTGTGTCCCCACCCAAATCTCATCTTCATTTTAAATTGTAGTTCCCATAATCCCCACATGTCATTCGAGGGACCAGGTAGAGATAACTGAATCATGGAGGCTGTTTTCCACATCCTGTTCTCGTGAGTTAGTTCTCATGGAATCTGATGGTTTTATGAGGGACTTCCCGTTTTACTGGGCACTCATTCTCTCTCCTGCTGACATGTGAAGAAGGACTTGTTTGCTTCATTTTTTGCCATTACTGTAAGTTTCCTGTGGCCCCCCAGCCATGCTGAACTGTGAATCAATTAAACCTCTTTCCCTTATAAATTACCCAGTCTTGGGTATGTGTTGTATGTCTTTATTAGCAGCATGAGAACAGACTACTACAAATATAATGTAGCTTGAGAAATCAGGGACATATGTATTGTGATGAATCTAGAGAAAGAAGGATCTTCAGAAGATAATCTTTGAAGCAGGTAAGAAACAATTATCCTCATTTTATATGTAAGTACCCAAACCAAGAGAGTTTAAATAAGTCTTGCTCAAGACCACAAGGCTTTTTGTGGCAAAAATAGAGCAGAACCTTATTTGTTGCTCTTCACAGCCTCAACATGTTTAAACAAGGCCTTGTTTCCAAAGCTATTGGAAATCCTTAAAAGCATCTCTAATTGTTTAGCTGCTAGGCTACTTCATTCAAGCACAAATCAGCATCTCTTGCAGCAAGCCCAAAGATTCAGGATTTCAAGAGTCTTACCTACTGTTAGTCATTAAAAGCCCAGTTAGGAATCAAATATGCACTTATATTTAGGTAAAATATGCATGGATTTTGTAGGCAGACAGCTTGAGTTTTGATCATCCTTGCTTTGGGCAAGTTTCTTTACCTCTTTTCATCTGGAAGATGAATGTGATACTAGTACCTATCTCACAAAGCTACTCTGAGGGGTAATTGAAATAGTGCATGCAAATTGTTCACTTACCATAGTGACAGGACTATTTATATGTGTGTTCTTTTTTACTAGACCTCCACATGGATTTCTTATGATAACAGCTGAATTAGCTATTCTCTTTGTGGCTATTTCTCATTTCTGCAGCTACGTTGACTGAGGGAATGGCCCTACTCTTTTTTCCTGCTCCCTTGGTGTCAGGCTAATTGAATAAAAATAGGGATCTACAAATTAAAAGTCTCACACATACTGCTATAGCAACGCTCTCTCCTCTATTCCTCTGATTACATGCATGCATGCTCTTTGGGGTGTAAGAAATGATATACAAGGACTCTAGGGTCAAACTAGAGTGACCAACAGTCCCAGTTTTCCCAGGCTGAGGAGTTTTCAGAGACACGGGACTTTTAAGGTAAAAACCAGGATTGTCCCACAGGGGGTAAAAAAAAAACCCAGGATGTTGTTCACCCTCCATCAGAAGGCCTAGGTTCTCTCTTTGTGACCTTAGGCAAGTTACTGACCTTGCTGTGCCTCCATTTACTCATCTGAATATAGAGTATAACACACTCTTTATGAAGTTTTTTTTTTTTTTTTTTTTCAGAGTA